AATGCCGATTGTCTCTCTCGTCGTCCGTCACGTTGACACGCATCGAATCATCCCCCATGGACTTCATGTCGTCAACAGTCATGTATCGATATTGCTGTTGGTCGCTGAGCATCGGATCTTCACCTGAGATAAACGTAAAATCGGAATTACGCTAACCGTTGAAAACGATAGGAACGTGTTCGCAAGATCCAAAAGGGGGGTCGTAAAAATCTAGAGTACTGTTGAACTTGCATGAAAACAATATGAGAACGTAGTGAGAGATTATGCACCAACGTAATGAAATGAATATGAGAGCCTGCAAATAAATGGAAAATCATTGCCATGAAAATTATCCCAGACAAGCTCAAAGAAGCGAAAAACAAGTATCGTGTCATTATGTACTCAAGAGTGTTATTAATTTTGGCCTTACTCGTAGCCTTAGGACTTCAACGACAAATAAATGAAATTGCATACGACGCATCGATGATTAATCAGAAATGTACATATCGGTGAAAAAGTATGCGAGTCGAGGACAATAAAAATTAATCGTAATTCCCACCGTGTATACGTAGAGAATACACTTCTAGAAAACGTAGCTTAAATCCTATCAAGAGGCTTCGAGTATCTCGCTCACAGATAGCACTCGTGGTTATCAGTTACGAGGAACGCGCAGTTGAGACAAATATTTGAATAATTCTTCGTACACGTTAATTATTGTCATTAATTATCATGATACGATTGAAATTATTTAATAATTTTTACCGCATCTTTTTCTGCTCGCTTATCGCTTACATTAGCATTTGCATACGACAATGGATGCGCGATTCATCAAGGACCGTCGAAAGCGACGTGCCTGCACCGTAATGTATACCACCACACAACACAACCTCTACCTGTGCGCCACAGTCGGCCGAATACGCGCGAACGTGCGTTCAAAATGTCCGACAAAACTATCGAAATGAAGGAGCGCGTGAAAACACGCGTGAAAACACGCGTGAAAGCACGAGTATAAGTGATATCCGATTTTTCGAAAGACTGAAGACTAGTACGGTTATCCAATCACCTTATACTGCCTTAAACATGCCTTATCAGATATGCCAAGAATATGGAACACAATTATCTAATAAACGGTCAGCCTACAAATTCGCAGCCCACGTCGAATAACGCCACTATAAGACTAAACTAATCTGGCACGAATGAAATTGTACAGCGTCCCCCTATACCATCTTCGGAATGTATCGTTGTCAGCTTCGAAAATAAATATACACAAAGTTCGTATATTGCGACACTATAGATGATATATGTATAATATAACGAAAAGTATTACTGACGTGGACACCGTCGTCCTTTCTTTTATAAATGACAATGCAACGGGCCAATCTCATCTTTTCCGCTCTCGCAATGACGTTTTAGAAACCGCTCACAGGCATGGAAATGATGTCACTCGTTATCTCGAGAGCTTCGAGAGACCGAGACCGCGGAATCAATAATATCTAAAATTAATAGAAATACGAAGCAACTGGTCCACGACGGTAGCACATGGAGAAACTGTACCGCGAAAAGTCTAATTTTAGCGGCGTTCAAGGACACCCTGCCGAAGCAATTCTAAAACATTCTAAGCCTCTAAGCTTCTATCTACGAATAGTTGACCTCATAGGCAGTGACCTATATCTTCCCGAGTACACGCGCGCCTGTGAAAACTAACTATGTAATCACGTCGAATCTTGTTGAATGCAGTTAGCCGGCACAGCGTCATAGACCAGAATAGTACTAATCGTAATCAACGAGACACTTAGTTTATGTCACGTTGCATCGGCGTTAATCGAATTCCCGATTCCACGTATCGCGTACCGTGTTGCTGCTACACGATCGACGCTATAACGCCAAAGCGACTTCAAAAATAGCTGGTCACTCACTATGAGAAAGCTCCCCAAATCGCAGTATATTCGTCGGTGATCGCAATGACTGGGCATCGCCGCCACGGCTTTGACACTCTCCAACCAGATGCTAAAGTTTCCCGCGAACGTGCCGTCGCGATTCTGTTGCTCACGTCACGCCACCCAACGTCGATTTACAATTGTAATAAAACTTTATCGCGTGATAATCGTACGTTATCGACTCGTGCTATGGCCACGTCCTCTCGAACAGAATAGATCGTGAAACTTGGAAACCCATAAAAAGAATACGAAACCGACGAATCATTCTTTCTTCCCCTAAGGTAAAGCAGACTGGCTGGCCTTGATCGTTACCCCCACTACCTCGCGTGTACGATATCATCGCTCGCGACTTATGTCACCGTTGCGTCCGTCTCATTGTTATGTCATAAGCGACGGATCATAGTCACGTTCCTCATGCCGCTCAATTAAACTGCCTAGCTGTAACACTCCATTCCTCTTCGTCGTTTATGGCCTGTTAGTTTTGACACGTTCTGTCACCGTATTCGGCCTGGCTCAATAGATAATCGTTCCAATGCGACCAGTCGATTTCGTTTCACATCGCGTATACCGATGCACTTCCTATACCCATAGACTCGTGGCGCTCGTGTACTTACGTCGGCACCGGAACTACGACACGGTCCGAACGGATGCTATACGTTATACGCGCGTCTCGAGATACGGTTCCCGTGCTTACCAGTATTCGACGTGCCTTCGTCCAAGCATCGTTCGTTGCACGGTTCGCGCGTAAATATGCATCTAATTTTGCCACGGTATTTAGGTTTATGCGTCGAAAAAGACGTCGAAATTTATCGAACCTATATACTTTCGACTGTCTATTCTTCGCTGACATTATTTCCACGAACAGCGCGTAAACATTTTGTACGAATTATTGCATGAATAAATGAGCTTCACGGTACCGTTTAAATTTGTTAGCTACAGTACACGTCGCGATGCTGGATTATCTATACTGCAAACAGACAACTGATTCGATTTGTGCATTTGCCGCGTATAAATACGTACATAGTACAAATCGTTCTGAATGAATGAACATTTTTAGAATGCAACGATATTAAATGACTTAATTTTTACAGGTTAATGTATCTATGTATAAATACTCCTGCAAAATATCTTTGTAAGATAATAAATTAAATATTTGTGAAAAAAATAATTTTAGTATTTCGTGCCTGTTTTAAATTAGGGTGAATATTTAACTTTTGTTAACACATTCGAGTCTGGCAAAACAAAGTCGCGTGGCGGAGTACCCCATTATCACTTTGTAAGCATTGGTTATCACGTCGAGGGTGTTATACTAAACATGCCGCAGAGACATTTTCTATATCCGATAATTTTTATAATAAATGTATCTTTCAATTTACGTTTCACCAAAGAAAAACAATATTGGAAAACGAAAATAAAAAATTGTCCCAACAAAAAAAATAGATGGACTTATCAACGCGACAGATAATGTAGAATTTCATTCACGAGTAACATTCTCAATAAACATTCCAGTTTCAATACAGAATCATCGGAACCAGGAATCCTGTTTTAAAAAAAGAATGTAAATACACAGAATGTTATATATATCATGTTGTGAAACTAAGAGAAACTTCAGATTTACTATGATATTGTACATTTCAGAACCACGTGACTAACATAACACCTTCTGCCAAAATTTCGATCATGTAACACATACTTCGAGATATATAGCTCGGCTACGCCAAAACGTCGACTTTATGTTTGTTTATCCATTTTCCTAGAAAACGATCACAGGCGACATGCAAAAGTTCGATTTAACCAACCGAACGAAGGACGCGTCCAAATGGTAGATTTGAAGAATGGCGGCAGCTCACGCGACGGTAACGAGTAATAACCGTGTTAAAATGAAATTAGGGTTAGGCGTGATCGTGAAACAACAGATGTACATATTTACATGTGCTGTCGCTGCTCCTGTTGCTTGTACACCCGCAACATGTTATCTTCTTTGACGGTTTCTGCTTCGATCGCCCTTTCGCCATTTTGCGAAATTATTTTTTTCCACGACTAGAAAACACGCGAGATGGAGAAAACTCGTGAGAGTCTATATGGAACGCCTGGACCGCGAAGCTCGCCGTAATATATCGAACGCACGGTAAAAACTATAGCGCACTTTTGTAGTCAAAGGTTTAGTACATCATCGCAACTCTGTACCCGGACCACTGTACACGATGTACTGACGGTGTACGCTACGTACAGGACTAATTACATCACCGACTCAACTAGCCGTCGGCGATGTGCGAGTTAGGTCACACGAATTACAATTAGCGCGCGTTATCGCTACGCATTCATTGATGACATCCACGTAATTGCAACCGGCCTCACTTCACTATCGATGTGCACTTCTGTTTGTTTATCGTCTGCACTGTACGGGCGCCAAAATCGCGATGTGCCCCGTGGGTTGAGGTACGCGACCGTTCCAGGGAATCGTTATTACTGGAGACACACGTTACGCAAGCCGTAACGTATTCACCTGATTAGATTTGATTTGTTAAATTGCATTAAGCGCGTCGGCCTGGATGCTTCCTTTCTTTCGCGGTATTTCGTCGCGTGCTAGCACCGGCGGGGTCAGGAACAGCGACTGCTTCAAGATTAATACAAGATCGACGCAAGACTACCTAACAGAAACGTGACCTCATTCCATGAATCACCAATTTTATAATAGTAGCTGCCTTCGAGCTTTTCCGCTACTTTATTTACATCCCGAACTGTTTGCAACTCTTTTCCCGCACGCTGTACAGAGCGTGGTCAGATGCAACTGTTGGCACCGAAAAGGCATTTACTCGAGACATCTAACACGATCGGAAATGAACGTGCAACGCGAATGTAGTATTGCGACTCGGTGTCGAAAACCTGCACCCTTTATGCGACCATAAGGCGAATCTACGCAAGTTGATGTGCAGGTGGTGTATATATAAATTTAGCGGGAACGCGATAAAGTTTCTCTTGGATCTTTCTATTGGCAGGTGTCACGTGACGTTTCGGGTGCGCAGATTCGTCGAGGGAGGACGCCGGTTACGAACCCGATAATCCGTGCGAATCGAAGTTAAAAACAAAGACGAATGTAGAGAGCCATCTATACTTCGCGAAGTATAATCGTCCCTTTTACGACGTAACGTGATCAGTTAACGGCAGCTGTCAGAATCTACGGATCACTTTCCCGCGTTCCTCGTGTCGTGAACTTCGTGGAAATAAATTACGCGTCCGCCATTTTTTTAAAGAAACAAATTCGTTATATAAATTCTGATATTTTGGTCGTGAATCGTATTTGGCGACTTGCCAGCTAGCAGGGGTTCGACTAACTGCACGAATAATATGGTACGAGATGCACACCGGCTGTTGCATAACAGCTGAGCAGAATGCGTATAGGTACAAGGATGATACGTCAAAACAGACCACACAAGCCTACTTCTGTTCCTGTCGACTGGCATAATGATCGCACAGCTCGTTATTATGCAAATTGCATTAACAGTAGTAACGCGCCCTACTTCGTTAACGTACCGTTTTCTGAATTTTAAATTCGAAAATGCGAACGCGTGGCCGACTTCAGCGTAGCATCGTTAAATTCAGCTTCACTTATTTAAAATTAAGAATTAATTCGGTTTCGATAATCGCGAGGTGAAATTGTGATACTTTACAGTTTGAGCACTTTCTAATAAACAAGAATTTTTTAAGTTTTGGAATGTTAAAAGGTAGTGGACACGGTTGGACGCGTAAATCCATTATATTTTAATTGGTTGTATTAATTTTTAAGTGCTGACTTCATTGAAACACGGCATTAATGCGTGCACCGTGACAGAATTAAATTACTGCTCAGATATATTAAATAGAGCCTGTGTGACGACTAATGAACAGATGATAATAATCTCGTTGAATTGCAAGTGGCAAGAATAGTTTCTATGTACGCACTTGCCCGACTATTTTACGTGTATCTTATCGAGTCATGGATTGAAATAGCTTAGAAGAATAAAAAAAGCATTTCAAGAATATATATCTTCCCTTTAAAATTTTCCTATCTTTATTGATATTTCTAAATATCAATTGCAAATAATGTACTATAATTAAGTAAAATAAAATCTTATTTATCAAAAAGAAATGAAAAAATTTCTGTATTGTATGTTTTGCATATGTATAGGGTAAATATTTTAATAATCAGCTGTCGAGATTCCCTATATAAGTATGTAGCATCAGTTGAATTTCGATAGCATTTAAAATTTGTGGCATAACAAAAATCGTTTACAGTATTAAAAACTCAAAGCGTAAATCTCATTATCAAGGTTATACGGCTACTACGGGTATTTCAAAGATACGAAGGGTTGCAACTTTATACGGGAAAAGTGGAGCGACAAGGAAGGTAAACGAAACAGAGTGTGAACAAATAGCGGTTTAAGGAAAGGTTATGTCTGTGCATGTCTCTGTATTTATGTTTCCACGCATGAAAACAGAAGAAAGAGTACACTAGATAAACTGAAAGCATATATATAATACAGAGGTTTATATTTTTATATCATTCAACTTTCCTGCTTTCATAAAAATCAGAGATGGCGCAATTGATCATATAACCTTTACAACGCGAATTGCATTGTAAATTGAGGAAAAGAAATATGTATATCAAAACTCAGACATTGAATAGATTCGTCTGAAACAATATCGAATGTTCGAAATGTCAATGTACGGGCCATTTGACAGTTGACTTGAAAGCAAAAGGTACTGCGTATAGGTTAAGTAAATGAAATCGAAGAAATATGAGTGATCCAATGCGCACGTTATTAGGCGCAAGATTAATTTACGTACCCATGTGCTGATATATGTATGTATGTATATATGTATATATAAATACAGAATGTTTCGCGCACGTGTGATATGTGAAAGAGTGACAGAAACAGAGTACAGACAACTTACGGGTATAGGTCATTTGGCCCTGGTAGTAAGAAGGAAGGTACACGTGTTGCGCGTGTGGAGGCTGCCCGTACACATTCATGGCTGCCATGCCGATTTCATCACCACCTACATTGTACGCCGTCGAGTAAGGTCATTTTTTTTATCAAAACGCTAATTTCGCACCATAAACACTGTTTCTAAATTTCGCTATCACTGGGTTGTTAAATAGCCGACTTTACGTAGCAGGAGATAAGCCTACCGCGAGCGTAGTTTGTTCGTTTGCTTCGACTTCAAAGTTTCTAGTCGATCACGTATTTAATGAAATATTTTCAACTACTTTAAATATATGTATTTCATTCTATTTCTGTTCACAACAGGACTATTTTTAATTGGTATCGAATGGAGAATAATCTAATTGAAATTAATTTGATTTAACATTAATTAAAATTTTATCTAGAAACGAATGCCGTTCTTACACTTGTACTTCCTGTTGACCAATAGGAAACGGACATATGAATATATAGTTTAATTAAGCAAACAAGCAAACCTGTTAAATTTAATATTTGTTATAGCTAAGTTTGCTCCACATAACTTGTAATTAATGAAGAAATTTAATCTAGAGTATGTTACTGTTAACTACTTATAGATCTTACACAGATAAACGTAATTTAGTTTAATTTAATTTCATAAAAACTGGACAAGATTATCAAGATAAAAGCAAGGTAAGTTATCTTGGGAAAAATATCTTTTATCATAGCGTCCATTTCACGTTAGTATTCCCGAATTCTAATAAAAATGATATTACCTGTGTAAGGCAAATACGAAATTACTGTGACGATTTCACCAAAATTCAAAATATTCACAATTTATGAGATTATGTATTAAATTATTCAATAGATTTTTAACTAGTTGCTAAGTTTTATTTATGCATCTAGAGACTATGCATCTATTTGAGGAGGTTAAATATTTATTTCAAAGATAGCAACAACCCAGTGAACATACGCTAAACACATGCTCTTGCGAAAATGAATGTAACATAAACGCAACAAAACAAGCAAATAATATTACCATATAGCTTTCTGACTTTAACTCGGAAATATGGAGACAATAATCATGGCTCCTTAAATATTTCTTTATTTTTTTTTTAACTGCATCGTAAATACCATTTATGATCCAATTCGTAAATATCTAGTAACCGGTATTAATATTTTTGCTAATCTAAAATTGGTTGTGTTTTCATAATTCCCTTCTTAAGAGAGTCTTGCTAATTTGTAGTAAGGAAAATTATTATAGGGTTCATAAATTACATGCTACAATTCGTATCTTCGTGTGTTTTCATGCGGTAAATACATGCATTTTTGAAGAAACTGTGAATAATAGAGTGTATCAAAGTGGAAAGTGCTATTTTAGTAGTCCCTTATATTATTTGTAACATTTTATATCTCTCAGTGCAAGTAGAATATAAGTGATAAACTGCAGTTTACATGTAGTATGTATATGGAAGAATATTTTATAAAATGCTATCGAAATATACAAATTTGCAAAACAATTATAGCATAAAATACGATTCGTTATTGTTACATGATTCGTTAAAATATCAGATTTGTAAATAATATAATTAAGATTAATGATTTTTTCTGATAAAAAACTTTTTAATTGATAGCTCTATTAATTTTTACTATTTATTTGAAGTAAATACTAATTAATTACCCTTAAGAAAATAGTTTCATGCAGTAAATTTGCATACATATATTATATAATAATTATTGAAATTAATATGTGTTGTACTATTTTTCTATACGCACTATAAGCTGCTATATATATATATATATATATATAAGAAGCAAAATTACAGAAGCAGACCTATACTACAAAGTTATTAGCAAATACCTACTATCTGTATTATCAATTTCTACTTGATATTCTAGTAAAATAATATTCTAGAAAATGAAATATATTGTTTTAACCATAAATTTTAAGCAGATCGAATTAAATATAAACAAATTAAAATGTTGCATTAAAATTTAATTTATTGTCAACACTGATTTAGACAAATCTCTAAATGTAATTTGCTAGTTAATATCGCTGCAATATTTCTTATTTTAATGTAATTAATAAATTTTGCAAAACTACACGAAATATATTTTTTATTAAGGTAAAATCTTTTAGAATAAGAAATAATAAACACTTACCTCCTTCATCTTCGCTATCGCTCATGAACGTCTCTTGCATTGATTCAGGAGCTTGTACTCTATACTTTTCTTCAATAGTAACAGTATGAGTCGTTGTAATGACGGTTTCTGTAACTACTTTCAATGTTTCGATGACACTAATGTAACCAAGTTTTTGTGCAATATCCAAAGCAGTTTGTCCATTCTGTACAAAACAAATATCATGTAATTAGATCAAATAAATAAAATATGAAGCCAAAAGATTTTATGAACTTAACTTACATTAGTAGTATTGTTCGGTTTTGCTTTACCCTCCAGCAATAAATTGATCACTAACGTGTGACCCTGTTGAGCAGCTTGATGCAATGGAGTATATCCAGCATTCGTACTACTGTCAACAACTGCACCAGATCGTAAAAGGAATCGTACCATAGCTGCTTGACCAAAATGAGCTGCCACGTGTAACGGAGTATAACCAGCCTATAACATAGACAAAATGTCTCCATATTTAAAAAATATCTTAAACGATCGTATTAACATGCAATCTTCTAATTAGTCGTATATATTATTATATTATTTTTTGTATTTCTAATAAAGCAGAAAATTAAGAGTTTTTTACTACGATATACCTTTGTTTTAGCATCAATCTGAGCACCATTTTTAACGAGAATAGATGCAACATTAACTTTATCTTCTTGTGCGCACAGGTGAAGCGGCGTGAGTCCATTCTAGAGAAAGAAAGGTTAAATAATAAAATAAAATGTTGCAATTGTAATTTGTAATAAATAAACATTTATAAATAATGTTTAGCATTTAGTATTACCTTTGCTTTATGATTTGTATCTGCTTTGTGCTCAATAAGAAGCGTTGACATATCAGTATGACCTTCTTGTGCACTCAAATGTAGCGGCGTAAATCCTGCTTTTGATTCCGCATTTGCCTTTGCTCCGTATTCCAATAAAGTAGTTGCAATGTCCATCTATAACAAACACAAAAATTATGTGTCAGTTACCGACAGTCTACTATATAATTTTGTTAATTCATCAATTTTAAGTTATTATACTTTAAGTTATTTACCTGATTCTTACGTGCAGCAATATGTAATGGTGTATGACCATTTTTAGCCATAGCATGAGGTGATGCACCCTTATCAAGTAAAAGTAATGCTACATTTTGATGATCATAGTGAGATGCCACATGAAGCGGAGTCACTCCATTCTATAATTAACAACAGAAATTAATATTCGACACAAATCATATTTAATATCGATAAGAACATTCTGAAAAACTATGTAATTAACAGATAATGTAACATAAAATGATAAAAAATAAAACTGTTTCTAACCTTTCCTTGAGCATCAACTGGTGCATTCTTCTGTAGTAACAATCTTGCTACATTCATGTTACCATATTTAGCTGCCAAATGTAAAGGAGTAAATCCCTTTTTGGTCGTTGCGGTAAGCGATGCGCCGTTTTCTAACAAAACGGATGCAACCTATAATAAAACAAATATTTATAAATAAATGTTAGTTTCAATTATCAGTAGGTAATAATACATAATGTACAAAATTTTACCTCTTCTTGACCTTCTTTAGCAGCAATATGAAGTGGTGTATATAAATCTTTCGTTGTAGCATCTACATCGGCACCGTGTTGAAGCAATAACATTACAATATCAACATTGCCCAATCGGGAAGCAACGTGAAGTGGTGTTTGTTCCTCCTATAATATTTGCATTTTTCAAATTTCTTTTAACATAGTTGAATTTACCATGTATATAAATAAAAGTGCACAAGAAAACAATTATAACAAGGAATAAAAAAATTAACACAATTAAAATATTGCTATAAAGGACTATTCAAATCGAAATTTACAAATACTAAATATTTTTCTTTACCCTTGCTCTGGCATCAACTTGGGCACCATTTCTAAGGAGTATCCTGATAATATCAGTCTGATTCGCTCTGGCAGCTAAATGCAAAGGCGTTTCGCCTCTTACTGTCGGTATATCGGGACTAGCTGCATGTTGCAGTAAATAAATTACTATGTTCATGCACCCCATGAAGCTTGCTACATGTAGAGGCGTCAATCCAGACTAAGCAATAAAATGAAACTATTATTACTAAAAAAAATAATAATATTCGTCTTTCGTCATTATATCGGTATAACGTATCGATTATTTCTAATAATTTCTCTTTCCAAATAAAGGCAAATATAATCAGTACTATAATAACTATGTATGGTGTGAGGTATTAAATAAAAGAAAGTGAAACAATCGAACTGGTCAGAAAATGGGGCTATACCTCTGTAGTGGCTTCGATGCTAGCTTTGTGCTTTAAGAGGAGCTCGACGACCTTCAATCTGTTCTTCTTGCAGGCAATGTGAAGTGGAGTAAAGCCGTTTAAAGCTCGTGCGTTTGGATCGGCATTTCTATCAAGTAGAAGCTTAGCCACTCGTACATGTCCGCAATGAGCTGCCACGTGTAGCGCCGTCAAGTAATCTACCGTCACTTCATCCACGGGTGCTCGATGATACAATAATATCCTCGCAGCGTCAACGTGATCTCCTTGAGAAGCCATGTGCAACGGTGCAAGACCATTCTGTCAACAGAAAACAAGCCTCATTTAGAAAACCTTTTATCTTTTATAAGAAGTGCATTCCAAGAAAATACAAACCTTCGTCTTGGAACCAATTGGAGCACCTTTCTCGATTAAAATGTCGACAACTTCATGGTGGCCAGATCGTGCGGCACAATGGAGAGGTGTAAGGCCGTCTCTCGTTTTCGCTTCAATGTTTGCTCCTTTGCTCATCAATAGATTCACCATTTTTATTTTCCCCCATTTTGCTGCTACATGCATTGGCGTAATATTGTGCTATAAAACAAAAAAAATATTTTTAATTTGGAATAATTTAGAATAAATAAACCGGAATAATTTAAAAATACAAATTTTATCTGCTATTTATGATAATATGAACTAGATCGTTATTTGAAATTCCTCACCTTGGCCGCAAAATTTACATCTGCTCCTCTATCATAAAGCAAGGAAGCAATTCGATCGTTGCCATAATGTGCAGCTATGTGGAGCGGTGTAAAACCACTCTTCGATGTTACGTCGGGATTGTGATCGTTCTACAATATAAAGAAAAAGTCAGACATTTATAGGCATTGAATTAATTTCTTTTCGCGTACTGATCACATCAAGTTGAATATAGGGCTTCGGTAGCAAATTATTGCGACATACTTGTAAAAGTAGGGCAGCCGCCTTGCAATCGTCTTTCTTGGCAGCAATGTGGAGGGCAGGCAATCGAACTTTACCACGAGTGTCATTTTCCAACAGTACTGTTACTACCTTATCGTGACCCTGTTGCATTGCTACTGCTAACGGGGTGAAGCCATCCTACAAACAAAAAATTTACCAGATTCGTGTTTTATACGCTAATTAAAAATTTATCATAAAATCCTTAAGCACTGCATTAAAATGTACGTTATACTTTATCGTAATAAAAGAAACGTCGAATTAAATTAATGTATTAAATTATAAATGTATTATTATATTTATTAATTAAATTATAAATGTATTATTTTAGTTTATCTTGTAATTTTACGATTTATTAACCGTTTAACTAACAAGCATCAATCTTATTTACAAACCTCAGTAGCCAATGTCTGATTGGCCCCTTTACTCAGGAGGAATTTTACTACAGAATCATGATTTTCCTGAGCAGCCATATACAATGGCGTGAACCCATTTTGTGACTGTGCATTCACAGAAGCACCTCGTTGTACAAGCAATTGTACCACCTCCTCCTGTCCAGCTGTAACAAGATATTAATTACATCTCGGAATGCTCATCCCACGTATATTAAGTGCAATATACACATATTATTTGTAAAAGGTATTTAAACGCTTTGTAACAGAGAAATAGAAAACTCTTTGCCAATCTTCAAGCATTCAACTTGTGCAAATGAACAGATCACCGGAAAAGAGCATAAATATTTAAATCCACGCGTTACTAAATAATATGTATCTTCCTCGTGATTACAGTAGCGTCCTTTACGAAAGATAAAAATGGTAATGTTCCTACTTACCAAGAGAAGCGATATGTAATGCCGTATTTCCCTTTTTAGTAGCAGCATCGACCACTGCGCCACGGTTAAGAAGTTCTCTGACGATTTCCAAATGTCCATCTTTAGCTGCCAGGTGTAAAGCGTTTAAGCCATTCTGTAATTAATATGCCTTTATACATTTTTAATCCGTAAAATCCCCTATACCAAATCGTCTTTACCGACGATAAATTGAACATTTTATTTATATTTATCAGGTCAGAGCAGTAAGTTCGTGCACATCGTGCCTCTTTTTGGCACATATACACTGTGCATATCCATGTGCCAAATTTTCATTCATTATACTAAATTTTATTAACGTAAATTGTCTAAAAATAATGTTAAATACATGTAGACTGAAATGAACCTTGATCTCGTATCTTTTCGTTATTTTCTCACAGCTAAAAATATACACGAACTTGTTAATTGACCTAATTTTTATTTTATGTATAGGTAAATAAATTATTTAAATTAAAAAAAGAATATCGCTTACAGCGTTTGAAGCATTGATGTCCACTCCCGATTCCAAGTATTCCAAAACTTTTTCCAGCTGCCCTGCGCGAGCCGCACGAAGGAACGCTGTACTAGGATCGCTCTGTAACGAAAACACGAAAACATAATGTTACTGCAACACGGGTGAAAAAGTAAGGAACACGCTGAAACACCCACACATACTCGTTAAACCGGCTAATGAATAATTGATAGCGTAACTCCGTTTGAATACTTTCTTTCGCGGTCAAGTATTATGCGTGTGTTTAATCATTCGTCACGTTCTTCTTTGCGGTTGTTTTCTCGTACACCAATCAGATATGCTCAACCGAGCAAAAAGTATATGAATGTAAGAGGACACTTGTTACAGGTCTTTTAACGTATCGCTGACCAGATAATTGTCTGACTAAAAATACTTTCTAACATAACCAAAAAGTTACGTGTCAAATAAACTTGCTAACGTTGACAACATAAGGAACAACATAATCTATAAACTGAAAAGTAATTAAGAATAGATAGCAATCTATAAAATATTTCAAACACTTCGTGAATCCTTGGTAAATTTCTTCAGAAGTAATTAAACTTAACTCGTGGAAAGTAAGAACAAAGTGTAATAACAGCAAACGGTATTGTGGTTATCGATCTTTCAGAGTTATACCTCGTTTCATCTTATCGTAAATGGTATCAAGCTGAAAAAGGTAGGTGTGCCATGCTACATTGTTTATCCCGAATCATATTGCGGATAAGTAATTAATATAGAGCGTGGGGCGCCGTGCCGTCTGCGAGAACGAGATACGACCAATCCTCGCATTCTCCCTCTTTTTGTTGCACTCGCCTTCACCCTATTTCTCGACCAATCTTTCCGTCTCTTTTCAACGCGACAGTTGGCCCATTTGATTCCTCGTCGGAGACAAGAGCGCCGCTCACGGCGTGCAACTGGTTTTATAAGTTGCAATATATCGCTTCTTCGGCCTACGCATGGACCAGCAACAGAATAAATGCGTCTGGCTGAGGATATTGTTACAGTTCAAGGGAACGGGAGGCATGGATTTTTTTTCCAATTCAGTTATTTGAAGCAGCACTTCTTCGTGGATTTAAATAGAGCTGACGATTCAATTGTCAGATAATTTTTAATTGTTGAAGTCATAAATATAAATACCGTTACACGACCTAAGTGGAAATTTAAATAGATTGAACCATTAATTTATGGTCATCAATTTATGAAATTTAGAAGAATATAACTTACCTAAATTAAAAATTTCTTTAAAAGAAAGTAATTGTTTCTTATATAATTGAGTAGCACGTAACATACGAACACAATATAAGTACTTTCAAATTGTTTTCATTTCCCTTTCGAGATCTGTATAGTCTGCCATTACTGAAAAATACTTTCATCTCATACCATGAAAGTCAAATACGATATTTAATCACAAGAATAAAATATTTATACTTTAACGTGTTAAGTGAAGGAAAATACCTTTAAACTGATTTTGCAATTTGGATATTCCGGAATGTATCCACAAACTCTATAATTCGTATCTGAATGAAAACACTCGTCGGTATTTAAACGACGCTACGAATGCGTGTAATTTCTCGATACGCGTGTGTACTTATATCTCATGACACATCTACGATGTACTTAAATCAACCGGTATCTCGTATGCAAGACGGGTGTAAAGAACCTCCTGTGCTTGCAAAGTCCTCCGTCATGCTTTAAATAATTCAGTGAACCGTTACTCCGACACGTGGATAGTCCCTTCTATGTCCGTCTCTCCGATCTTCTTTCACTGTCTTAAACTACCTGCCCCATCCCATTTTTTTTCAAGCCACGCTGCATCCTCCATGACACAACGAAGGTCTGAGACGAACGCCGCGGCGTGGCGCGCCGGTCACTGCACTCATTACTCTTTCCTCTGCCGTGAAAACGTTCATCGTAGACTCGCGTAATTCTTAGATTGACGGAGGTTATGTAAGCGTCGGCAAATTATTAATTTAGATTCCGTTTAAGCAGGATAGATTTCGTGATAATATAAATATATATTTTCTACATTTGCAGGTGAAATTTTTCATACGTTCTAAAAATTATACGAAAATGAATTAATACGTAATTGAGGAAATATGATTTTGTGACCTACTATTTTAAAAAATTTTGTTTTATTTGTTTGACGATATAATGTTTGTAATTATTGAGTGATTTGGTAATGGCTAAGGTTTGGGATATTTTAACGATTAAATATTCGATGAATGTTAAAGGGACTTTCTTTTAATCTTGAAATACATAATACCGGCTGGCACTTCACTTTCCTCGTTTAAATCAACTATCACGACTACAAGGGTTGGTTTCTATTTACAGGTGTATGCAGCTGACTCGACATAGTTTTCCTTAAAAGGTTCACGTTGATTGGATACCTTGGTTTGCACAAGAAGAAGTGCACTGTCCACATAGCTTGCTTTGAAAATAACAGCGAAAAGAAGACATCAAATGCAACATATCATTTAACATTTCTTGTCAAAGAGGGGAGAAGATAACAATTGCATTTAAAATCGGTTTTCACTTTGAATTCTAAACGAACTTCTTTTAAAATGTGAAACACAATTTCTAATAATTTTAAACAGTTGTACTTTTAAAAAAATTATGTAAGTTCAAAAATAGAATTGCATTGTTTATATGGCATTTTATATATATCTATATCTTTTATTTTACAAAATTTAATAGATTCCACTTTTCTAATTAGAATAATACAATTTTCAATATACTGAAACAGTAAAATAAAATAAAATAAAATAAAATAATGTATATTACTTTCCAAATTGTAATAAGTATAAAAAGTAAGTGTTTCTTATTTTTATCAGAATATTTACTTATTCCTATTCTTTTATTCCTACATTTCTTGCATTATATTTATTTAATATAATGTATATTGTAAAATTTTGTAATATAATGTATAGGTAAAATTTCTATTATTATTGCTTATTACATAATACATTTGTCATTGCTTTACAGATAAAACTAACTTAAATATCAAAATAGTTGATTTTATTTATTATTTATTTATTATTACAAGTATAAAAAGTAAGTGTTTCTTATTATTTATTTATTCTTACTCTTTTATTTCTACATTTCTTACATTATATTTATTTCATTGTAGAATATTTATCTCTTATTAATATATTTATTTATTTCAGGTTTTCTTTTACTTACATTTCCTGCATCATAATATCGGTTGCTTAATATTTAGAACCAAAAATACCTGCCACATAAACGGGGCAAGAATTGTGGGAATATGTGTCAATTTTTTTGCATTCTAAGATGCAGTACTTGATTCGCTCTACAAAAACTATCGTAGCTAATGACTTACACCCAGGTGAGTACCCTCGGTTACTGTCTGGCTAGGGACGCTTTAAGGGCTTCTACAATCCCTTGGGGGAAGATGAAAGAACACTAAACATAGAACGGCGGTGCCGTTTAAGCTACATTATCAAGTGAGCCGCAATTTATGTTATTCTTATACATCGATGTAGGGTAAACAAAATTGATTTATAGAATGCGGTGTCGCTTTTATGCATCGCGGTTATTTATACCGATAGGAATTCGAATAAAAGCCAGCAACCGAAGGATACTGATAAGTTTGTTGAACTGGCCTTTTTAAAAAGCTGCACGTGCACAAGTTTCTACACGCAGCTGAGCTTTAACGCGTTAGTTCCGAACAAAGTTAGGAGCGTGGGAGTATTAAGGTTCAACTTTTCATTTTTGCTCCACTTGCGTGCGAATAACTGTGGACGACTTGCGAGGAAGAATACGTTAAAACAGATGTTCCATCATTTGGAAATAATAAAATTCATATATATATATATAAATTTTTATGATATTTCATAAAATGACGTGTTATGTTTATTATTGTGACAGAGTAAATATATCATTTAAAGTTATGAAAATTTGTCTTGGCAGGAAGCAAAGTTACAATTTAGTTGACTACGCAACCAAATGGATGATATTTATAGCAGTCAAGAAGTAAGAATAATTCATATTTTCAAGATTTTTGCTGACATACTGCGTATAACAATAATTTATTAATTATCCAATATTTTAAAATAAAATTGTATTATTAAGTTACTATATTTTTATTAATATTATTTATTTATTTAGCGGGGGAAACCATTAGTATAACATAATGTACGGTGTTTACAATAGATTTCTATTTATGATATTATAAATGATATCCTAAATGACATTTATATTTTGTCTCTTTAACCTCTTGCATTACCATTTAAATTTCAATGGCACGTGCCATAGTCAATAGCAAGGTCACACATTGTGCGATCTCATGTCGAAGAATAGCACGTAACTGAGACACAAGGACATCGGCGAAAATTCACGAGCCTAACCGTATTATTTATGTTAGGCCTTATCTACAAAACACGTCTCTCATACGTGATACTCACGTTCGACCCGACTTCCTTACCACGAGTCGCACACGATATTGTAAGTGAAGGGTCAATAGAATAAAGGTAAGAGAAATAATTTTCTCAATAAATTCGATTTTATTTCACGCTAGTAGAAAACAAATTGACTAAAAATATCAACGTCGAAACTCTTCAAAATTATTACTTTTTAGGCATCAATGTATGAAATGAGACACGTGGGGACAGATAAATTATCTCGAGGTATCACCCATATTATTTGTTCACTGACGAGAATAAATACATCCCTGATAAAAAATGTGCCTAACTGTGACATGTTAAAGGGTTCAACTATATTCATAGTGAAATTAAAAATTAGGTATTTTCATAATCTCTTTCAATTACTTTCTCAATTCTTTTCTTCCTAAATTATTTCCCACGTGTGAAAATCTTTTCATAATAATTTTAATATTTTAAGTAACGCAAGGAAGATTATATAATTAATACTGAATTAATTATATCGATATCACGAAATTTTTTGATGTGTGCAAAGCAGTTAAATCGCAATAATATATCGTAATAATACCATCATAAGAGTTACTTGATAAAATACTTGTATGATCTCTATATATATACACATACATATGGATATATATACAATGATATCATTCCATTTATCATGCTTCAACAACTTTAGTTACCTCC